TGGGCTGATTCGTTCTTACTCGACCGAGTCAGAGTTCTGACTCGGACCGAGTCAATACTCGGAAAAAGTCTCTTTTCACAAGGATTAGGGTTTCTATCTTATAAGGAGGTGTTGGACGCCGTCCTAAGTAGAAAGAAAAACTTACAGAACCCTAAGACAGATCTAGAACACAAGAAAATCGTTTCTTTTGAGATTCTAGTTCTAGGGATTCGATCCCAAGTCTTGAAAACCCTATTCACTTCACAGATCCTAGCATATCAGTTCCAAAAAGCGTTTGGAATCCTTCCCCTCGGTGTGGATACGTGTAGAGGAGCTGTACTTTCAGCTCTTGGTGATTAAAACAGGCCCTGGATCGATTGCTACTTTCAGATCTTCAGGAAAGAGGTAAGTATTCGATTCCTACGGTGATATACACGATTAAACGGGGTTTTACGGATGATTTTGGTTGCGTGTGACGTTTGACTAGGTTTAGATTATTCTTCCGCTGCATGAAACCTAGTAAACCAAATCCTAGATCGATATGATCGCATGCTAGGAATCCGTAGCAAAACCCAACACACTCTACCTCACATGCTGATGTACCACTAGAAAATTCATGTGACGTTTTTTATGATGAACCCAACAACATCGCGTCGAGAGGGAATGTGACTGATTCTCCTTCTCCAATCGACCATGTTGAGACTATGGAAAGCATCGTAGATGTTGATGGCCTACGTCGGAGCAAACGAATCCAACAACATCTGCCTAATTCTACATCAGATTACATCTCTAAACGCTTCTATTTTAGTGGCCATGCTCATGCTTTTCCAATTCAGGATTATTGTTCCAATTCTAACTTGGTCTCTAATGAATTATTATTCTTGAATCAGATTGATACCCACAAGGAACCAATCACTTATAAGAAGGCACGAGAAGTTCTTGTCTGGCAAAAGGCTATGGCCGAGGAATTAGCAGCGTTAGAAAAGAATAATACTTGGTCCATTGTTGAGTTGCCTCACAACAAACACGCAATCGAGAGCAAATGGGTGTATAAAATTAAATATCGGAGTGACGGCACGGTTGAATGCCATAAAGCTCGACTCGTCGCTCAGGGTTATACATGTACAAACATACGTCGAGGATTACAACGAGACTTTTGCCCCCGTTGCCAAGCTACCCACGGTTCGTGTTATTATATCTCTTGCTACTAACTTTGGATGGGATTTATGGCAGATGGACGTAAAGAATGCCTTCCTTCAAGGTGACTTGGCAGAAGAGATATACATGCTCCCTCCCCCGGGTTATCGTGAGCACATTGGATCTACAAAAGTTTGTAAACTTCACAAATCTATTTATGGTCTGAAACAATCTCCGAGAGCTTAGGATTCAAAACTGCATACCGCCCTTATCTCTCATGATTTTGTTCGAAGCGACTCCGATCACTCCCTCTTTACTAAGCGTGATGATTCGGGTATCATCGTTCGTCTCGTTTATGTTGACGATATTATTATAACAGGAAATAATACTCAGGGAATTGGCGATACTAAGCTTTTCTTGCAGGCATCGTTTGATATTAAAGATCTTGGCGAATTGAAGTATTTTCTTGGATTGAAGTAATCCGCTCTTCGAATGGATTATTTCTTTCCCAGCGAAAATACATTCTCGACCTTCTCGTTGAAACAGGAAAGCTTGGTGTTAAACCCACAATCACGCCTTTAGAGGAGAATTATAAGGAACAACGCGAGGGGGAA